GCACGAGGGGAAGCTCTGGGCTCGCAGGAGTAGGCACTATCGTGGCAGACAGTGAGGCGGCATGAGTAGGCCATTCTGTCTGACATAGCTTTCTCTGTCCACAGAGGATATTAACTCATGCTTACTCCCGGGTGGTTCTCAGAGTCCTGGAAGCAGCAGTGGCTGCCAAGAAGCGCTTCAGTGTGTACATTACAGAGTCACAGCCGGATGTGTCCGGGCAAGTATCTCTCTCTATCCAGGTACATGCCCAGCGGTCATTTCCCAGAGCAAACTGAGGATTAGGGCCCATCACAAAAGAAGCAAGAAAGTGGCCCCGTGCTAGGCAGTCAGCATTGTCTCTGGGCCCTTTCAGCCCCGCGAGGAACATCACTGTCAGGACCTGTCCAGTCAGACCTGGTCTTGTTATGACTCACATTGTTGTGCCTCACAGATCCGACAGTTTTCTGATGGACAATAAGTCTGTGGACACCATTTCTCCAATGGGGTGTCCGACAGTTTTCTGATGGACAATAAGTCTGTGGACACCGTTTCTCCAATGGGGTGTGCTTGCTTCATGTCTCCGTGTCCCATTGTGCTCATTCCTACCATAGTTCAAACTTCTGTTTCATGATGTTGCACACTTCAGACTATACTATAGTCTTATACGTACACTTTTTTGTAACTTACACACCAGGAAACTAAAAAGATCATGTGACTTGCTTTATTGAGATACTCGCTCTATGTACAGTAGTCTGGAACCCAACACACAGTATCTCTAAGGTCTGCCTGTAGTTAAATCAGAGAACGAGAGTGATTGTTTTAATCAGGGTTAGGTAACTCACATCTCCATCTACCCAGAATAAAAGCAAAACCATCTCCTTTATCCTGAATGTGTATTTCTTCCCTGGAGCCCCCAAGAGCAGCTAGAAGAGTTTTCCTGATTCTTACTTCCTTCGTCCCAAGTCTTAGGATTTGTCCCTTAACCCATCAACATTAACTGGGTTTCAACCTAACATGATTTATTACTGTCCAATTAAGTGATCACCATCACTGTGGGACTTTCTATGACTCTAATGCTCTCACCATGTCATCTTCAGTAAGAAAATGGCCAAAGCGCTCTGCCACCTCAACGTCCCTGTCACTGTGGTTCTGGATGCTGCTGTTGGGTAAGCATCAGTCTTTCCTTGCCATGTTAACCTTTCCCCAGGGTTAGCTTGTAGCAGGGTTAGCAGATGGAAGGTTTGAGTCCCATTCATAAACTGCTCTGGTTGCATCCCATCTGTTAAATAGCCATTGCATTAAGGTAACAAACTTATTAGCTTGATAATGCTATCCAGCACACAGGGCTGCAGTCTTTGGGGTGGAGGGCAGTTGTGGACATAGTATGTATAAAAAGGTATGTCACTATTGTGAGCAAGATGCCAAGGTCAAGTTAGGGTGGGACTGTGTGTATCCTCAAACACAGGTCAACCACAGTGGCACACAGGGGTCATTTATTCACCCAGACTGTCTCTCCTGAGCCAAGTTCACAAGAGAAGACATGTCCATCTCTCAGCAAGAAAACACGACACAGATGGTTAAGGAAGTTACACAAGTGTTCCCAAGTGCACAGTCTGAGTCTGAGCCACCTAATGGTCTTGTTACACAAGTCAGTTTCCTTGTCCCTACTGTTAAGTGCCATCGAGTCAGTTCCAACCCAACAGTGACCCTACCTAGGGTTTCCAAGAGCAGCTAGTGGGTTTGAAGTGCCGACCATGTGGTTACAATTCCAGCGCTGCTCCTACGGTGCCACATCCGGGTTCCTGAGGACTCCTAAATTGCACAGCACTCGTAACTTCTAATCACAGCAGGATTGTACATTTTTGAGTTGTTTGTAACAAGTTACATAGAACTCATCACAGGAAGCAAAGATAAATACACCTACTCATTAGCAGGTAAAAAAAATCTGCTGACCGTTTTGTGTATAATCGACACACATCTGGCAGTAATGAACACCAAGGTGTGATGTGAGACTAACCCTGGCTATAGTGGGGTGTGGGCCACCACTGTCCATGGTTTGGGGTTATACAGTGATGGAGTCGGCCTCCATTTTAGCATCATCGTGACATGGTCTCTGGAGCGGAACCAGGCTGATGGGTGAAGAGTGGGTGTATTGTTTTGAGAAACTTGCATCAGTTACACAGACATGCGTGTGTGCAGTAGTGTCAACTGTGACTTACTGTAAGGTTCCAAGGTCGTTGTGGGAGGAATTCACCTCAATGACAATGGAACATGAATCTTGGCAGATGATGGCGCTACTCACAAGAGCCAAGAAAACATGAACATAATTTTGGTCTTTTCTCACTTCCTTAGCTATATCATGGAAAAAGTAGATCTTGTCATTGTTGGTGCTGAAGGAGTTGTTGAAAACGGAGGAATTATTAACAAGGTAGGAGCCTAGATTCTCTGCAATTTTTGCTGGAGCACATTGATTTTGGTTAAATTTTCTTCTGCTTTACTTTAGAGCTCCGCCTATTTAAATTAAGAGAGTGTGCATTTATGTCTACTCAGAATCTCTGAAAATGAAGAGATCAGCTCCAAATTTCCATAAATTAAGAGAATGCTCATCTGTGTATAGTCATAATGGCTTCCATTGGGAGTTGGATTCATTACTGTAACCGGGCATGTTGGGCCTGCATGGGATGTTTTACTGCGCTTTCTCTGTCCGTTGCCTGGCTTGGAAACTTCATCCGTCCTCTTAATTAATTACAAAGGCAGACTTGCGCATACACCATGTCCCTTCCCACGCGCTGTTACTTTCCCTTCAGATGTACGGGACTTATCCTTCTCTGTTTCTCTACCCCGCCCCCCCAGATTGGAACCAACCAGATGGCTGTGTGCGCCAAAGCACAAAACAAGCCTTTTTATGTGGTTGCAGAAAGTTTCAAGTTTGTTCGGCTCTTCCCGCTAAACCAGCAAGACGTTCCAGATAAGTTTAAGGCAAGACTTTGACATATTTGAAGGGGAATTTGAGTTGGAATGGGACCTTTTGAAAAGTTGCCGTGCTAACAGTGGGCCACTAAGTGATTTCTCTGTTGCTTTTTCCTCCACCACCTGGTCTTTCCTTCACTTATTCAGCCAATACATGTGCTGAGAGGAGGCACAGAAAGCTGGTCGTTAAGAGTCCAAGCTTCAGCCCAAACTGGGTTCACTTCCCATCTTGACCACTTTCTTCCACGTGGTTTTGGGCAAGTCTTTGAACTTCCGTGTCCATATCTGTAAAGTAGGTTAATTGTACCCAGCAAGGTGATGAGGACTCGCAAGAATCGGGCCAAATGCACGTGCCTAGCACCCAGAACAGTGCTCCTCGAGCGGGTGCAGATGGTCTGGAGCACTAGCGAGGGGCCACGTGTTGTGGGTGTTCCTCCCACTCAAGCCTCTGGCCAGCAAGCCCTGACCCCAGCAGTGCCCGGCTGTCCTCAGGCCATGCTGCCCAGGACTCTCCCCTACTTTCCTGCCGTGGCACACTAACTGCTCAGGCCACCATCTCACCAGCAAGTCCTGAACATTCAGAGTGACTAGTGTCCACTTTCCTCTTTCTCAGTACAAGGCGGATACGCTGCGGACTGGGCGAGACCTCAAGGAGGAGCACCCATGGGTGGACTACACCTCCCCATCCTTAATCACACTGCTGTTCACAGACCTGGGTGTCCTGACGCCCTCCGCTGTCAGTGACGAACTCATCAAGCTCTATCTGTGACCACAGAAGCCTTCCTGTCACCGTCTCGTGTCTGTAACCAGGGCAGGGTGACAAGCTTCCTGACGCCTGCAGGAGCCAGGCCAAGACGGAGCTGTGTAATGGAGAGCTGCACGCCTACTTCAATCCCAGCTCAAGAGCTCTCGTGCTTCTCCAGAGACCCAGCTGATATTTTACTTGTTTCCAGAGACTTCATTCGTTCAGCTTCCAGAAATACAAATTAGTACGGAATACTTGACAAAAGAGGGTGCTCCCTTCATCTTCCCCTGCACTGATGACGTGAGGCCTAATGGCACAGAATCCCCACACCTCTTCACGACATGCCTACCAGCTGCCGGAACACGGCACGTGTGGTGCCTTGTAAAAAATCAAACACATGCCGAACAGATATCAGGCTCCTGGAGATGGGTGCAAGCCAGGGCTGCCATCACCTCCACAAGATCAAGTTAAAACAAGGGGACGTGGTACCAGGAGGATGAGGAAAGCAGATAGGTATGAGACCCCCCATTTCCAGGGACACCTCCTGGAGAATTCATGAAGTGAAGTTATGTGTCTGTGATAAGACACGAAAATCCTTTAAATATGTTTGGGTCCTTTTAAAAATTGTACTTGGGAGTAAATTCAGCATCTTTTCCAATAAAGTCTAAGAAAACTTTTGATACGTTGCTGGGTCTGTGCTCCATGCTGGCCGTCCATCTTGGTGAGAGCACCACGCAGCCAGTCACCCCAAAGACAGTAACTGGTTAACTCAATTTTGTAAATACTCTCCAATAAAGCAGTCTCAGGTCTACCCTCAGAAACACAGTCATCACACAGCACCCTCTCCGAGGGGCTCCGTGCTGAGAGAGCGAAACGAAGCTCTGGGTTAAAAACTCCACAAAGGTCAGGGGTCTGAACAGACTAAGGAATAAAAGAAGGGCTACGATCGAGTGAATTTTAGTATTTTTATATTGTAAAAATAGGTTTAAAAAAAAAAATAGCTACAGAAAAATGAGCTCTTTTAATTTTAGGAGGCCATTAAAATAAATACTGGCGTCTGTTATTTACGCTCCAGTAGTCTTCCACCCCCTCCTGTGAGCGGGCTCTAAGACCAGCATGTCCTGTAACAAACATGCCCAAGTACAAAGTGCCTCTTGTCCCAAAATGAACACCTTTCAGGAGGAGACATGGTAGTCCTCGGGGGGTTCTGCTGCAGTTTGGCCTTCCAGGTGGCGTCAACTACACACCTTCTTTGGTCCCCACGTCCCCTGCATGCTGTCCCTATTCTCCTGCATTAACACAGGACGCTATGGGATCAGGAGTCACCTTCCAAATCCAAGGCCCCCAAATCTAGCTTGCTTGTCCTTTTGCCACCAGTCAACAAGCCCTTCTCAAATTCTTCTTCAGTGATTTTGCCCTTTTTGAACTTTTTCAAGAGTCTAGTATCATGAAGCAGCTCCTCCATGTCCTCATCTTCAACATCGGAACCCTAGGTGCACAGAAACCAACAGATTCTGAGTTCCGCTGGGACTGGCAGCCTGTTACCAGGAGGTGTTCGATTGACTACAACGATCCCCACACCTGAGAGCATCCCAGAGGCAGTACCCCTTCAGGGAAGCAACCAGCCATAGCTTTCTCTGACAGAGCAATGGTGGGTTCAAACCACAAACCTTGAGCACTTAACCCGCTGCGCTACCACAGCTCCTGCTCCCAATTAGCCTGCCACAAAGACAGCAAGTTCCCCACCCTAGTAGGCAAGGTGAAAGCCCCACAACTCCTAATTCCTAAAAACATTCTATATCAATTCATAACAAAAATTGTTCAGAATTCCACATTTAAAAGGAAAATCGCAAATGTTACCTCTTGCCTTTTCCTTTTTTCATTCATTTTTTTCTTCTTTTCTTTTTTGGCTTTCTGCTTGGACCAAGCTTTATTTTTTATGAACTTTCTTCTCCCTTCATTTTCGGTTCTCTCTTGTTGTTTTCGCTCCAATAGCTTCTGCCTCTGCTTTTCTCTGATTTTATCTTTAAATGGGATCGTATCTGTGTTAATGTCCACAGGCACAAACTCAGGAAAGTGCTTCCCTCTGAGCTCTGGCATCTTGGGCATCTTCAGCAGGGCAAAACCTCGAGCAAGACTAGCAAAATCAAGATCTAATTAAACCAAAACATCAGAGTTAGCACATCCAAAATAGGAGCCTTCCAAAAAATTAGCCTTTTCCATGAACTTCCTGAAGTAGTCCCCTCCTATAATGATAAAAAATGATACAATGGAAGGCTCCTCACAGTAGTTTTCCTAATAAAAGATTTAATGGATTTATTTCAATTCTGATAAAAAAAACTAACACAGTAAACAGGAACAGTTAGCATTCAGTGGCCAATTTACTCTTATCTCCATAAAGTCTGGAAAGAATTCCTTTGAAGTGTTTGGAAAAGCATTAACCCTGAAACATGTGTAATAGTCTTAAAAATCGAGGTGAAATTCACATAACATGAAATTCATGCCTAATATTTTTAATGGAAAAATAACTTTCAGCCTTTTAATACTGATATTATGTATGATACATCATGTATAATGATATACATATATTAGGCGTTTAACAAGTAGACCAAAAATCAAACACTGTATTGCATTGGGCAAATCTGCTGCACAAGAGCTCTTTAAAGGGTTGAAAAGCAAAGATGTCAGTTTGAGGACTAAGGTGCACCTGACTCAAGCCATGGTATTTTCAGTAACCTCATATGCATGTGAAAGCTGGACAGTGAACCAGACTGTAGAAAAATTGATGCATCTGAGCTGTAGTGTTGGAGGAAAATATTAAAAGTACCATGGACTGCCAAAAGAACAAACTGATCTGTGTTGGAAGAAGTATAGCCAGAGTACACCCTGGAAGTCAGGATGGCCCAGTCCTTGGAGAAGGAGATCATGCTTGATAAAGTGGACAGTTGGAAAAAAAGAGGAAGACCCCCAATGAGATGGATTGGCTCAGTGGCAGCAGCAATGGGCTCAAATATAATGATTGTGAGGTTGGCACAGGACTTGGCAGTGTTCCGTTCTGTTCTGCATAGGGTCACTATGAGTTGGTACTGACTCAATGGCACCAAACAACGAGTCAGAACCAACTCAGTGGCATCTAACAAACAACAACAAGGAACCTTGGTGGTACAATAAGTTACACACCGGGCCGTTAACTGAAATGTTACTGATTCAAACCCACACTGCTTTCCATGGGAGACAGATACGGCACTCTCCTTTAGTACTGGTGACAGCTCTGGAAACCCTGTGGGGCAGTTCTGTCTGTCATGAGTGGGAATGGAATCAGACATTTCAGGTGGACACAGTACATGAAAGAAATCCAACTCACCTTTTAGCCTGAAGATAAGGTTACACTCATGCTTTGCGTAAGCTTGGATGAACGACACAAACGCTTTCATTCCCTTTTCAAACATAGCTCTGTCAGCCAGGCCCAGGGCCTTCAGCTTTGGGAGGAGATCCACTGTGTTCTTTTGAAGTCTCATCTCCTGCAGGGGGCACTACACGAAGCCCACAAGCTCACTTTCCTGGGCTGGACTCATCCCCCACCCAATACTAGCTCACCCATGAAACCAAAAGCAAAACCATTCTTTCCATCTCAAAGTGTAAAGCCTGAAGCTCAGATCCAACCCCGGGTTTTCACCTGGTCCATACATTATTTTTTTCCCCAAACATTAACAAAATTCAATTCCTCAAAGAACTTGCAATTTAATGGAAGAGGTGGAAATAAATCCAGCCAACACTTATAAGATTCAATAAAATTCTTAAGACTTTGACCAACAACAATAACACAAAGCTACTGTGTTCTGCTGAAATTCATGAAGCAAAACTGCTATGTTCAACATGTATGTAGAGCCGTGCCCTCGACCACCATCATGATGACTCTTCGAGTTTGTATTTTCTTATTCAAAGTCAAAGATGGAGAGCCCGGTTCACTAGTGACAAAAAAGACTATACATAAATCTTTGACTTGGAAGCATAATATAAAAACAAGTTATGAAAAATTTGTTCAAGGCCATTTTAAAGTCACACCTGGCCCATGGGCCCAAGCACGTACTTAAGAGCGTCAGACCTAGCCGGTCGAGCATGGGCATTGCTGGCCTGGCCCAGGGGAACTGGCTTCCCACCCCAGGTTTTCTGGAAATGAACTGCCTCCGCTACCCCGTTCCCTGGGAACTCTAGGATTCCAGGGCACTCTATGGTCCTGGGGAGACATCAGCTCACCTTTTGGTTAATTGCAAGGAAGTTGATGTAGGACTCCTCCATGGGGAGCAGGAACACCAGCGCACTGCCACCATGGCCAATGCGGGCAGTGCGGCCGCAGCGGTGCACGAAGGCGCTGTGGTCAGAGGCAAAACATGGACAGCCGGTGGGTCCCGTGTGATGATGGCTGAAAGGGACAACTGACTCCCCGCAGCTCAATCCCAACACAGCCCCCTCAGTAGCCTTAGAAGAGCAGGTAGTAATGTATGATTCTCTAAGAAAGGTTTCATGTGAACTTTAATCTGTACACCTATGTAGCTGATTAACAAGTAGGGCATGCTTCTTTTAGCAAACAGGGAAAGAAAGGCAAAGTATATAATAATAAATAAGCTGAGGCCAAATAAGAGGCCTGAGGAGTGAAAAAGGGCAGCAGGGAGGAAAGTAGTCCCTACAACAGTCCAGCACACAAACAGGGCACTATCTTCCCAGGGAGAAAGCTCAGGAGGCAGGAGATCTAGGAGAGGGCACCGGGAACAGGGAAGGAGAGGGAAGAGTACTATTGTACTGAGGGGCCAGGGGAGACCCTTAAAACCACAAATGGACCAACTGTCCAATGGAAAACTAGTCTGCTCTGTAAGTTTCCACCCGAACAAGAAATCAATTTAAAAAGAAAAAATAAAAAGGACAATACTGAAAATCCCGAAAGCCCGCCACCTGGAAGTCATCATCATGAGGGTTTGCGTTTACAGGCATATTGCTAGTTTGGGAGCGTATATTAAGGATATACACCTACTTTTGAGAATAGTCATTGAAACTTTCATATTTGATGTTCTACATTACTTTTTCATTTAAGTATTCTACCATATGCAAGCCTTCAAGAACTTAAAAACCTTTTTAAGTATTTGAAAACACCTTTAACCACTGCAGATGGATCAATATATAGGTACCAAAGATTACTCACCCACTTGTCTATTTTCACTACTTGAAATAAGCCCCTTCCCTCGGCTAGATTCCGAACAGAGCAGGGGACAAGTCCTCAGCCGTACCTTGCATTGCTGGGAGGGTCGTACTGCAGAACCCAGTTTACTTCGGGAATATCGATCCCGCGGGCCATCACATCGGTGCACACTAAGATTCCACTAGAAAATGAGAAGGTGCCAGTCTGAGCGGGGCATCACCATGTTCACCATCATTACACTGTCTTTAGTGATTTCAATGACAATGACACAGATTTACAGATTCTGGAGTCTCAGGACCAAGCATTTCCTGATGAGAAACCTGGCCCTGGGCCCTTCCAATGGCTTCATTTTTTAATAACTGACTCCACCCACATTAACAAATGCCCAGCGCAAAATTAAAGACAGTGAAAGGATTTTTAAATTATTTCCATTAAAAACAAATAACAGGACTTCCAGCAAGATGGCGGACTAGGCAGATGCACTACAGGGACCCTCTACAACAAAGATATGAGAGACCAAATGAAATAGACACAGAAGAAAATTCTGGAACCCTGAACTTAAGAGGAAAGGTTAGATAAGTGGACTGAGTGCTACCTGGGAGGAAGCTAAGCAGGGACAGCAAGAGACAGGAGACTGATTGGAGAACAGCTGGCCAGACATGGCACGACCATCTTGTGAGCAGCTTTGGCAACAGACAGTGGCCTGGCAGAGCAAATTTACATAGACAAAGGGGAAGGCATGATTCCTTCTTTTTCCCCACATTCCCATGGTGACCAGAGATGGGGATGGATCCCACCTTCTTCTATCCCCAGCACAGACCCTGCTCTTCAGGAGTTCGGAGCCACATGGTTGGAAGCTATGACAGCACAAGGCAAGGCCAGCTGCATGCCTG